TCCATGGCCCTAAGGAATACATATAGTCTGGTTGAGAATTAAGGTTGCAATTCTCAGGAGTCGTATCATGAAATGGGCTATGAAAGTGATAACACAGGTGCTACAGGAACATAAGGGAGGGTCATCTGGTCCAGCCTTGGGTGGGGATAAGGGTCAGAGTTTTCCTTGAGTTTCTAAATCAGGTCCTGAGATAGGGGTCAGTTAGGCACAAAAGCAGACTTCTATGGTTTGGATGTGGTTTGTCCCTCCCAAAACTCATCGTGAAGTTTTAACTGCCAGTGGGTCAGTGTTTGGAGGTGGAGCCTAGTGGGAGGCGTTTGAGTCACGGGGGTGGATCCCTCATGAATAGACTGATGCCGTCTCTCAGGAGTGGGTTCTCTTCACTGAATTAGTTCCCGAGAAAGCAAGTTGTTATAAAGCCCGGCTCGTGTTTGGTCTCTTTGCATATACCCACTCACCTTCCTGCTTCTCCACCATGACTTGATGCAGCACATGGCCCTCACCAGAAGCCAAGAAGATGCCCACACCATCCTCTTGGAGTTCCAGTCACCAGAACCACGAGCTAAATAAGCCTCTTTTCTTTATAGATTACGCAGCCTCAGATATTCTGTTACAGCAACACTAAATGGACTAAGACAGAGACCTCATGAGAGCAGCTTGGGAAAAGCTATCTTTTGCTTGCCTTTTTGGATCTCATGTGGCAGCACTATTACTACTTTTTACCATCTACTTAAACCATCCTGAAAGGTGCTTGGCTACTACAGTGAGTGAAAAATGTAGCGGAAACGTTTTCTTCACAGCTTAGAAGCAACACTGAGTGGCCCCATCCATATGTCTCACTGTACTGTCCATACTATCATCCTCAGAGACTTTCTGGGAGGCACCTCTGTCCTCTCCCACATCCACTGCACCGTGAATCCAACCATCTGATATTCTCCCAAATAACCTTGGTAAAGCCTTCAACTACACCTAAACATTTTGGCACCTAGTTGCCATCTTATGCTGTACTTTTTCTTTTTTTTTAAAGATGACCGGTAATGGGATCTTAACCCTTGACTTGGTGTTGTCAGCACGACGCTCAACCAGTGAGCAACCGGCCATCCCTATATGGGATCCGAACCCATGGCCTTGATGTTAACAACACCACACTCTCCCAAGTGAGCCACAGCTGGCCCTCAAAGTTTCTGATTCTTTTTTTTTCTGATTCTTTTTTTTTTTTTTTAAAGATGACCAGTAAGGGGGTCTTAACCCTTGACTTGGTGTTGTCAGTACCACGCTCACCCAGTGAGCAAACCAGCCATCCTTATATGGGATCTGAACCCGTAGCCTTGGTGTTATCAGCACCACACTCTCCCGTGTGAGCCATGGGCCGGCCCTTAAGCTGTACTATTAATTGGGAGAAGGCTAGGTTACCTAGGTCCTAGGTTCTGGGTATAATGAAATTATGTTTGCCTAAAGCTTCCAAATCTTTGATTCTAAAAGTGTACAACGGTTAAAGTGGATATGTGATACTACAGCCCATTGCTGCACACATATGTCAGTTTTATTATCAAGGCTATGTGCAGAGACTATAAAAACAAAAAGGATGCAGGCCCCATCCCAACCGTAGTTCCCAACTGTCAGCA